CCGGTTGACCGTAAACTTTCCATTCGTAACCTTCCTATAACCTTTATCCTTGCACTTTTGGTTATTTCCAAACTTTACAACTACAAAATTTTCCAAACTTCTAAAATCATGCGGTTTTTCCTTACGACCCGTCATGTGACAAGAGCAACCACTGTCAATATATTAGTGTTCATGGTTTTGCTCATCACAAAATACCTGTGATCAGTTAAAGAATTTTGGTCCCCAAGGCTTTTTGGGTCCTTGTTTATTTGAGTGAAATGTATTTTGAAAAGAAGATCCTAACACCCAACTTTGAACCTTCGATTTAAGACTGTCAATCAAGTCAACTTCTAGAAACTTTGGTATCGAAATGAAATCACTCATTGGATTAGGTTCAACACCAAATTTCCATTTTCCATCATCATCTCGTCTTATCTCAACTTTTTCTTTGGGAACTTCTTTCCATTTTTGAACTAAAGGATTCAATTCCAATGATGAAGAACTCCCAGTTTGTGATTCGTTCAAGTAGCTTTCGTAAGCATACCTGACTTCCTCTTGAGAAAACTTTCTTGATTGGTATGGCTTTGCTTTCCCTTTAAGCCAATGCTTTATATTCTTCATTTCAGTTTTCCCTTTTACAAATGAAGCTTTGACTTTCTGCTTTGAATCCGGATTTGGGAAGTGAGGTTGTTTGCTTTAAACAATTCGTTTCTCTTTCCTTTAACTTCCAACTTAGCAAATTCTCTTTTTGGAAATGATGGTTTGGAGGATTTTGATATCGATTTTGAAAAATTTTGTTATAACTGGCGGATGTTCTATTAAAAACTTCTTGATCATTTGGAAATCGTCTTTGATCTTGAAATTGATGAAAATTTCTTTGTACTTTATGTTGAAACCCATTTCTTTGAAAATCGTTTAGTAAAAACCTTGCATTTTGATGATTAGGAACAAAATTCTTTTGATGTTGGTTTTGAAAAAATGTTTATTTCTTTGTTTTTGAACAATTGGTGTTCGAACTGGTTTTTGAACTTTTGAATGATCTTTCGAAAAATCATTTTGTTTTTAGTGGGTTTCTTCTGATCAAAAGACTTATTTTGTGAAAAAGTTTTAAATAGTTCAGTGGATTTCTGTCCAGACGATTTTTCTGAAAAGAATCTTTGTTTCTTAACAGACTTTATATTTTTCCAATAAACCTTGTTTCGTGCTTTTAACATCAAAACTCCTTCTTCTTTTGAAACTTTTTGAATTTCTTCATTGAAAATTTGTGCTTTTGTCTTTTTTGATTTTGAGAAAATGGTTCATTAGTTTGTTTATTAGCTTCTGCTTTTTCTGTTTTTACATCCCAATTTCTTTTTGGTTTTTGCCTTTGATAAGTAGATGAGTTATTCTTTAGGGTATTTTCAACCATTATTTTCTTTGAGAAAAACCCTTCTTTTGTTACTCCTTTGTTGTCTTCATCAACAATCTTGTTAATTTCAGCATTCACTTTGTCTCCATTTCCTATAGTCACAAACACCTTATTGGGAAACACCAAATCATCGGTGCATTTAAATGACAGATATATGATTGAGTGCATTCGAGATAATGATGACCTTTTTCATTCATCACTTTTTCGAATTTCTCTATTTCCTTATAAACTTTATCAACAACTCTGGGAATAGGTTTTTTGTCCTTGTCACTATCACTGTCATAGTCTTTGATTTCCACATTATCATAATCATGAGCTTTCGATGTAGAGTGTTAATCAATGTTAACCATTTACAATGAATCATTATAAATTTCATTACCCTTGTCTATCGAAGTGACATTGATGACAGATAACTGAGAACAGTCAAAAGTTTCCACTTCCATAATCTCACTAATATTGTTAGAATCATCTTCAATATCAACAAAATTATGTTGAGACTCAAACATCGAATCCTCATTCTTTTTTAAGGTTTTGATTTGTTCATTCTTATTCATGGTCTCATTCACAATATGCACCAAATCATTAACATCTAAACCTTCATCTATTTTAACAATTCCATATGCATAAGAATCATTTGAGACTTTATCAAATTCAGAGATCTTGTTATCACAATAATAGGAAGTTGAATCTATTTTTTCCCTTTCGAATACTAAGAAGGAAAATAGTTTCCTATGTTGTTCTTTACTAATATCAGAGGAATGATGAAGATCTGTTAGTTTAGCATACAATCATTTTTCACTATTACAGTAAATATTATGTTGTTTCATTATCAATCAATTTTCTTCTCTAACATCATCCTTATCAAGAGTAATGTTTTTCAGTTGCAGTTCTAGATAATCCACTCTACTCCTCTTTGTCTCCAAACATTTTTTTTGTTTCTAGCAACAATGATTTCGATTTTTCACCTTTGCTACTAGAAAAATAAGCATGCTATTAACATAAGATAGAGGATCATCGAAGTCAGAGAAAACAATATTATAAGAAATTAAGGGAATATCAAAGGATTTGAGAAGAAAACATACCTTCAAAGTTATTGGAGATTTTTCTGCTCTAGTCAACACGAAGAATTTTTTGTTTGCCTTCTCCTCATCAGAATTTGCTTCTTGAAACCCCGCATACACTGTACCGTGTGTGGGGTTCCTCATTTCCTCGTCATCGGAACGACACGTCCAAATTTGATTGGTTCCTTCCCCTCGCAATGAGTGACACTCCCCTCGACCTAGATCTTACTTCCTCCAACCTTTCGACATAATAGGCCTCATCATTCACTCTTTCTTTGTTTCCCTCTCTTTTCCTCACACTACAAGAAAAACAGCCTTTTACGACGCTCATTGCGCGTCGTAAAAGGCTCAGACGACGCGCAAATGCGCGTCAAGGAAGGCCCTGTCATAAAGAGAGATGACGCGCTTTTGCGCGTCGTCTATAGACGACGCGCATTTACGACGCGCAATTACGACGCGCGTTTGCGACACGCAATGCGTATCAAGGAAGGCCCTGTCATAAAGGAAGATGACACACATTCGCGTGTCGTAACCTTACGACGCGCGTGTTAATGACACACAATGCGTATCAAGAAAGCCCCTGTCAAGAAAGGCCATGTCATAAATGAAGATGACACACATTTTTGCGTATCGTAAATTTAAATATTTAAAAATATATATATTTATATTTATTAATTTTTAAATTAAATTTGCATTTAATGTGTCATAATAGAAATAAAATACCATATACAAAAAAATACAATCCATTGAATAAACTTTAATGTCATACAATTCTAATTCTTACAATATATAAATTTGCATTCATCTAATCTACTCTATGTTTCATACTAACAATTGAAATGAAGAATACAACACTTGCATTTTCAGCATCTTATCTCTTTCGGCTTGAGCTTTCTTTCCACTTCTAACTCGAGAGCTATTCTCTTTCATCAACCCTGTAAACACAACACAAAATAACTTGTCATTTTCATTCGCTTTCCAATTTCCGTTGTGTGTTTTCCTATTTCCTTAGTTTGTGTACAATGGAGTAAGCAAGTGTGTATTGAAGCACCTTCGATGTAATAATACCCCCTTGACCAGTACTAGTATCAGAACATAAAGCACCTTTCTGCACAAAAAACAACAATAAGTAAACAAAGAGTCAACATGTTAGTTGCAGCCTTGTTTCTTCTTCTTCTTCTGAACTCATCTCTTGCAACCATTGCTCTAAGCCTACTCTGAATAGATACAACAACTCCTTGTCAAAACATGTACAACCGGTTTCAATCAAGACACTTAATCAATCAAAAACTTCAACAATTAATTTATTTCCTTATTAAAGTTAGTTCTTTTACAGCTATATGTTTGAAGATATAAAGAAAAAAAATGTCAAAGGAGAATAAGGAAATACTGAATGGTAGAACCTCATTACTGTTATGCACACAATTATTCAAACCAGACTGCCAAATTCTAACAACTTCTCCAAGTGTTCTGTTTTCAATCCTGTCAAGCACAATTTTTTCACAAGTAAGGCAGAAGCATGGAAATAAATAAAAGTGGGCTTCTTGAATTATCCTTCATTTTGATAAATATACAAAGTTATATGATGTGTATGTACCTAATGGGGCCATATCTTGCTCCACAACGGAGTACAACAATGAAACATGATGCCTCTTCATAACCTCGAATTCCAGTCCTTCAAATTTCCGGAGTGCCATCTTCCTCCTTCAAAACAAGAAATATGGTGTCTTCCTTCTCAATTTGAACAGGAAATGACCATTTTGTGCCTTCATCACGGATCTATTAGATAAACAATATGTAAGGAAAATATCACTATAATAAATAGATAAAAATTGTATAATGAAAGAAATACACACACACACACGAAGGACCCCTAATCACCTGTAGCTTGCTAGGTTGGTCAGTCTCACGGTAAATAATGAACTAGAAACCAAACTTAAGGGCTTTTATGAACCAAAAAGAAATAGTAAAATCGAACATTTCTATCAAACTTAAAGGCTTTAATAAACCAGAGGGTAAAATTAAAATTAAAAAAAAAAGTTGCAAATATCCGAATTTAATGAACCTAAAATCTACAAGAGGGTAAAACCGACAAAAACTTACAAACTTAAGGGTTTTTATGTCATTAGCCCTATATTTAAATGGTTTCCTTTAAATCTTCCATAAAATAACTTGTAGTAGTCGCATAAGAAAAAACTCGTGTTTTCTTGTATACGATATGCAAAATTCAAAAGTGGACTACCAAAAATTGCCAAGTTAGATTCATAACTTTATGTACATTTTGTTAAATAAATCATCCAATATAATTCAAATGAGACCAAAGAACTCTAAATATGTACTCAATTGAAATGAGAATCACGTTCCAAACCCAGAATACCCGGTCTAAATCAAATCTTTTCAGTTCTCTACCAGTTTAGCAGAGTTTTGAGTTATGTGATTAGAACAAAAATCATCCAATTGATCTCAAATATCATCATCTATCTATACGTTTAATATGTATATATATATATATTTATATAAGGACCCATAAAAAGTAGGGTTAGAGATGGGACCTAATTTTCACCAATGGTGCAAGGAATGCAAGGCGGATCTTTTGCTAGGTCTTGAGGAGTGATTTTTTGCAAACATTGATCATGAAAAGTATGGCCACAAGGAAGAACAGCAACTGCTGGTGGTGCTGTAGGCTGGTATACTGCACCTTCTGATGTTAATGAAAGATCCCTCTTGCATAGCAAGCATTTATATTTTGTCAATTCATGAGGACTTGTCTCAGGATCTGGCATATAATCAAACACATTACATTAGTTAGTAGTTACCATGTCATATATATATATATATATATATATATATATATATATATATATATATATATATATGAAGAAATAGTAAGAGTAAGAAATGATAGTGTACCTTTCCATGTAATATGAGAGACTGTAGGACTAGGAGCAGCTGTCACAGGAACACGAGGTCTAAAATTTGATGTGTAAGGTATAGATGGATGCATAAGAGCACGAACACGTTGTTGAGTCTGTGATTGTGATTGGTAGATTGGTATGGAAGGATGAGCAAGATTGGCTGTTACAGAAGCAACTTGTTTTGTGGGGAATCGGATTGGCATTGAATGATGAGTAGTTGTTGGATGTGACATCTTCTGGCGTTGAACCCAATGGGCGCCTGAAGGTGGGGCCACTGCACTTCTCTTGTGATATGGTCTCGCATAATACTCAGAATTATTAGAGAGACCATCAACAGAAGTTGTAGGAGCTTGTCCTCTAGGATTGTTAGGAAGCTGAACCATTTGAGATTGGCCTACATAAGACCAAACAAAAAAAAATATCAAATATGTATGCAATATATCCAACTGTATACATACACTTCTTAGGTGTTTATTTACCATGACTGAAATGGGGACCTTGAGGATTCATCGGATAACTCACAAGTGCTACATCAATTCGATCTGATTGTCATAAAAACGATCTCAAGACATTAAAAAGAGAGCAAGTAGTCATACCAATAGAAGGTTGAACAACATTATCTGGATACTGACGTGTTTGACTTTGACCTGAAAATAAAAAAATTAATCTGACATGATAAGTAAGACTTAACTTGTTGTCTATAACTGTATAAAAACAGTCTTATGCCACTCAGGATACCTGCACTAGTTTTCTGCAAGCTTATTTGTCTCTCAGCAGATTGAGGGCTATCTATCCCATTAAACTCAACTCCCAGCCTTTTGGGAATGGGAGATCTATTACACCTTGACCACTACTAACCCAAGATACTTGAGGAATTGTTGTCCTCTGGTTTTGTGAAAGCAGACCACCCCCAGGACCTTGGGTAGGCATGTGATTCTGTAAATAGGGATGTTTTCCTACAAGAAAACATATTGATTCAATAAGGATAACCTTAATGTAAACTGAAAACAATCACCTTGCTTACCTGCATAATTCTGTCTGGTAGAAGTAGAACCACTTCCAAGTTTGAGAGAAGAATTCATGGAACTCTCTGATGGTGACAAATCTATATTGCTTGGATAACGAACCTGAGATACATATAAGAGTATAAGCACTCCATGTTACTGAATCAAAAAAGCTTACATGAACAAATAAAAACGTACTTTTAAATTTATTTTTCCTATTATAACATCGTAGCACCCAATTATAGTAATGTCATGCAAAGACATGATATTTACTGCTATGATTGAGTAGATTTTTCATGCAATAATAGGAAGAAAAAAATGAAAGTAAGATGCTAATGCTATGCATTTAGATGAATCCAAAAAGAAAATGAAGTTACCGCAACATTCAAGGTAGGAGCTGGGTGTTGTCCACGAATTCCATTCGGGCCCAAAATAGAATGTCTGGAGAGAGTTTCTTCCCTTGCACGAGGAATATTTAGAGAACTAAAGCAGCAAGAAAACCAAAATCACTAGTTTGTGTTCTGAGATGGAAAAGAAATCGGAAAAAGGTGAATTCAACATTGATACTTACATGGATCCTGAAATCACTAAAGAAGGGCATTGGTCCTTCAAAAAAAAAGATGCAAAAGCTGACTACTGAAGAAGGGCTTCGTGGAGAAAATTGCAATCAAGCCCTAAATTGAATAGTTCTCCATTTAAAAAAAACACAGTATAGGGCTAGAGTTGATAATTTGGAAGAAAAAAGATGAAGAACAGAAGAATATGAGGTCAAAGTAACATAATGGAATAAATAAAGGAAAACTCTTACCTTTTTCTTCGAACGGAGGGTCAATTGACTTTCAATTTTCGGTGTTAGGGCTTAGTGATTGTAAGAGGAAGAAGACAGACGTACTCTCATAGATGATGGTTGTATGCGTTTGATTTTGCAAAGACGAGTTAAAGGAAAGAACTAGGGTTTTCTTGTTGTAAGTCAGGGGAGAAGCCGAGAAAGTAATTAAAGGAGAAGGGGGGAATCGCTCAAGAAGAAAAATAGGATGTCTTCGTAAGATGGAAGGGAAAATTGGTTTAGAAGCTGGTCAAATGTAATGAAATGTTGAAACGTTTGGAAACAACTTCTCCCAAATGGTTGGAGAAGATGGTCGGAGACAGTTGGCGGTGCGAGATCGGAGGTTGGGTGCTGGTGCGATGCTGCTATGAAGACCAACGCCCTAGGGCTTTTTCTTGCTAATCGGAAGAGGCGGGGGGGTTTAATTTTTGGGATCCAGTATAGGCGGGTGAAATCCCGCTTAAAACGCGTGTTTCATTAAAAAATTATAAAGCGACACTCTTAGATGACACACGTTTTATGAAAGGTGCCCTCCGCTTTTTCTTTTTCTTCTTTTCTAACACTAATTTTAGGGCACGCACAAATGCGGTGCCCTCTATCCTTCATATTTTGGAAAACTGACATTATTTTTTAGGGCACGCACAAATGCGTATCGTTTATCAGCGCGTGTCATTGTTTGCGCGTCATTAAAGGGCTTTTTTCTAGTAGTGTCAACATGCAACCAACTAATAGATGGTTCACACCATTGTAGTAATTGCAGTCGAAACCAGAATCTCCTTTTAGTTTCTTTTCCACCTTCTCAATAACACCCTTACTCGCCTTCTTCTCAACCTTCGACTCCTCTTTCATTCCTTTTGCAAAATATGAACTTCCCTTGAATTCATTGTTTCCTTTGAACGTTGGATTAAATGACTTCTTAAAAAGCTTCTTCACTTTGTTGTTGCAATAATACGCTACATCCTCATCTTCTGAATTTACAAGAAAACCTTCGTCATGAGAATCAACCTTCTCAGCTATTTCAATCTTAGCTTCCTTTGCAGACACCTTCAAAATCATGGCAAGAGGACCTCCTAGACTCATTTTCCCCTATACACCTATTTCGTTGATCTCACTCTCATGAGCTTTTAGAACATTATAGAGATATCCCAACGAGTAGTTATTGAAGCTTTGTTGGGTCTTGATCATCAAGCTAATGTTTCTCCATTCCTTTTGAAGACCCGTTAAGAAAGTGAGATTGTACTCGAGAGTAGAACATATGACTCCATAACAATTGCATTTGAAGATCAACTCATTTAAACGATCTTAATTAAGCTCGATGGTCTTATTCTCATTGTGCTTGAATTCTCCTAATTCGAGTAAAAACTTCTTCACTGAGCCCTTTCTTGTCTTCTCACTTTCCTAATACTTCTCTTTCAAAGTATCCGAAATCTCTTTTGTTGTCTTGCAACCACGAACAAAATTGTAAACCACTGGTGGAAGAGCACCATAAAGTTCACGCAAACATTTCTTGTCATTTGCCTTTTGTTTGTCAACTTGCAATGCAACATCAGCAAAGGAACCAGTTGTTCCAACTTGTTCTAGCCTTATTAGACGGTAGTCTCCACTCGTAATATAACGCCAAAGCTCTTCATCGATTCCATTGAGATAATTTACCATTCTATTCTCTCATTACTCGTAATACTCTGGAATTAGCATCGGAATTTTGGTAGAATAACAGAGAAGATGAGATACCATTCATAATATTTATGTTAAAGTTCCGCATTGTTGTACGGACTAAAATGATGAAAAGCTTCCGAAAATGAAATCTAACTGATGATTATTTCAGAAAAAGATTAGAGAACACTTGATATATTAAAAAAAATGACAATCGAATAGAATTAGTTGATTAGATTAGATTTTCTAAATGCCTTATGTGTTGGCGATTTGTTTCACTAATGTGATATAAGTGTAATGGGATTACTTTGTTGACCAAAAGTGATCTTGATAAATATTAAACAATTAAGGAAGGTGTGGAGTGCACACTTGTTTAAGTTTATTCAAGATTAAAAGTAGACTGTCATTTAGTGGTGAAGCCCCTGAATGTCCAGGGGTCCGGGGGCAGCGCCACTGGGAGCGGGGTCAAAAGGGCGGCAGTCCCTGGCGGGATCCAAGGAGCGTGTCATTTAGAATATTTAATCCGTTTTTTTGGCTTGGTATTAATCCTTATTGAAAACCCGGATTTATGACAGTTTTTTTTACTGTTGCCAAACTGTTTTATGACATTTTTCAGACAAAGGAGGCATTTAACCAATTTTGGTCAGCTTTTCTGGTACTTATGAAATTTATATATCTCATTCACTGTTCTTTTCTCTTCTGAGTCTTATCCAATCAAAGAATAGGGAGTACCACCCAATACTTTGATTTGATTGTGAAATCACAATTCTCAGAATATCCAAGTGCCTTTATTACCCAAAAATTCTAACATTATGTAATACATATATTCGAAATATAATACACGGACTTCGATCTAATCAGGCCTAACTCAACTTCGAAACCTCAGAAAATACTTCAAACTCTACAAAAATGTTTCTTCGGTAGACCTGGCCAAACTTTCTAGTCTCTCACCACCTTCTCAATCATTCTTCCATAGCTAGTGTGGGTTTGAACCATTAGAGGCGTGACATTTGTGATGCTTTCTCTCAAGAATTCAACAACAAAAGAATTTGAATTGCTATTACTATATAGTGATCAGGGTATGATTATACTAACCTTATTTGTGAATGTCGAAATATATAGTAGCATGCTAGGGTTTTATATTTTGTTGTTCGATTTGTATGTTCAATTACAGAAAACGTATATCAAATTACTATGCACACATAGGATTGTTTGTTATGCTTGAAACCCATTATTGGTATCAAAGCGTAGGTTTAGTTTTCTATTGATTTGATACAATGGTGAACTTGAACAATGAGGAGAAAATAGAATCATCATTCTATTCATCAAACACGCCGTGGTGTTCTTCCAACACGATGTGTTGGCCTTCAAAATCCAACCAACACGGTGTGGTGACCATCTAACACGGTATGTTGAGCTGTCAGATCCAAAATTTTATGCCTTATCTGCCTAATCTGCTTTTGTATGATAATTACTTGCTATACTTATCCTTTAAATCTGACTTTGGTGTATCTATGATGATAAATTAAAAGCATAGAAGTTAGGAGATAAGTATTTGACTTAATAATTTGTTTTGTTAATTAATATGATTATTTTAAGTGTATAAACAAATCTAGATATTAATTGAATTTAAATAATTAATGTCAAATGACATTTGTATTTTGAAAAGTTTAAAATCAATCCTTATGGATCTTATTATTAATTTAATTAAATAATTAATTAATGGGCAATTAATAAATCCATAAAAGGTTTAAATTTTATTAAATTAAAGTTTTAATTTTTTAAAAGATTAAACCCTTGCAATTTTATAATGTTTTTAAAATTTACCTTATATATATTATTAAAAGTTAAATATATACTATATGTATAAGAAAACTCAGTCAAACCGCTAGTACACCTCATTCACATAGCCATACTATAAGGGGAGTTTAAGGAAACAACCTATAAAATGATCGTCATTAGGTATTCATACTTATCCACAACTCTCTTGTATGGAGGAGGATCGTTAGCCGAACGGGTTTGATAGGACACGATCTCATTAAAAGTATAATGTCATAAAGAAACTAAACTAATTTTAAAAAATCTCACTCTTAGTTACTTTAGGAAAAATGTGACTTTGTATGCGAATCCATGAAATTGTACATTACACTTTATAACTCATTAGTAGAGCATGTGTGGTTAACCGACGCACTAATTGTTGGATTACTGTCTAAGTCCATAACTATTTTGGTATGTACTTGACCTGATTATGAGCATGGTCCTTTTAGGTTGCCTTCACCATAGCAATATGTAGGATGAATTAAGGAGAGAAAGGTTTAATTATGATTTATTAATAAATTATGGGAATAATATATTAAAGGAGAAATCATATCTTTTAATTAATATTAGTCAAGAATTAAATTTGTGGTTAAAGGAGATTAATTAAACTTAAGGTAATTATTGTGTAATTATAAGATAATTACATAGATGGGCTAATTGACTCCATAGAAGGTGGAGTGGACGAATTATACGGGGAAGCCTATAAGTATTCGTCCAAGGCTTCTAAAGAAGGGGTCCATGGACTGCTTAGGGCATAAGCAGTCAAAAGTAGGGTTTCCTTGTTAGATAACCCGAATTTCATACCTATTTAAGGAGCCCTAAGCCCCAAAAACGTGGTGACTGGATCCTCAGGGTTTCCTGGACATTTTGGAGCCTCCTTCCTCTTCTCTTCTTCATCTTATTGCTCAGTGGTGTTTGTGACTCCATTAGACGTGCAACACTTGAGGCACTAAGCTTTCTGAAGCCAATCAAAGCAAGGATTAGATTGTTATTGCTCTATATAATCAAAGGTAATTACTAAACCCTTATTTCAGCTCATGATATGTTAGATCTAGGGTTTATGGCTTTGGATATTCAATTGCATGTTCATTAGACAAACTAGATCCAAAAGCTATTAGGGTTTGCATGTACACCATAGGAATGATGTATTGCTCGAAACCCATCACTAATGGGGAACTAATAAAGGATGGTAATGGGTGTCTCAAAAATTATCGTTGATTAATGGAGCGCATGTGGCTAACCGACATATTAAAACAAGTTGATAAATGACATCAAGAGTACCAAGCTTATTTGCATGGTTATTCACATTTGGTTTCTGATCATCGGCATCCCAGTCACAAAAGTGAGAGCATAATCGATATTAAACATGCCATTGAATAGTTCAATGAATCTCAAAAGATCTAGGAGTTTCATGAGATTGAAATTGGTAAATGCTTTACCAAAGATTGAATCGAAAATATAGATCCTAGCCTTAATTTAAATTTGCGGGTTAATAATTAAGGATTAAAATCGAATAACTTGAATTCATTTTTCTCCTTTTATAGATGTTAAGTTCAGAAAACAATTGTTTTCCTCGTTCTTTAGGAAGTGGTTTTCCTCTTCCTTGTGAAGATGATCTTCCACATTCTGATCAAGGTGAAAGTATGTTCCCTTCTTTAGGAAATGGTGGAAATGGAAGTCATGCTTTATCAACTCTTCCTCATCTTACTCCTCTAGTGACTCTCCCTAAGTTATGCTTTCTTCAAGTTGAAAAGTACAATGTTACGCAAGCCCTGTTGGCATGTGAACATCAAGATGGGAAGTCTGTGTGTACGTATGTTATGGAAATGAAATCATACATTGACAGATTGGATATGTTGGGTGTCATTTTCCAAAGTAAGCTAGCTATTCATTTGGTTCTAATTTCATTTCTTGAGTCATATAATCAGTTCATTAAAGACTATTATATGAGCGACCATGATGTGACCCTAATTGATCTGACACATATGTTGTTCAATGCTGAAGCAAAATGCTTAAGAGTACAAGTGAACCGTAAGTGTTTGAAGGATCTGTCTCCAAAATTTCCCCGGACGTTGACAATGGCAACAATGGTAGTCCAGAAAAGGTTTCTCTTCCAAATGGAAAGGGATCGGCCAAGTTCAAACCGTTTGATCATATGGTAAAAATAAAGGCTAGTTCTGAGATAGTTCCATGTGCTAATCCTAAAAGGTCCATATGATTCTATTACCAATTGAAGGGACATTGGTTGAGAAGCTATCCAGACTACATGAATGATTTTAGAGATGGTGAAGTTAAGTCGTTTGAATCTACTTTGGGTACGTCCATTATCTAACTCCATTATTTTGATTAGTTCCTATCCATAGATTCTTAATACATGATGTGATGATCACATTTTGATGTTTTGCAGGATCTAAGAGAAAGAAGGAAGCTTAAGTAGAGTGAATCGAATCTGATCGTGAGAGATGGATCTCGGTCGCATGGTTCGATGATCGTATTTCAGAAGCTACTCTTAGGAGTTATGATAAGTTAATAGATTTCTTAGGAAATGTCTAGAAACATAGTTTTCATTTTGCATTGTAAGGACAAGTTCCAATGTTTCGTTTATTGTTAATAAAAGTGAAATTTTGATTTATCTAGTTAGTTTACTTTACATTTCCTTACAATGGAACTTATGAAAGTTTTCTATTGTTAGCAATATTTATTAAGGATTTGATTCTTGTTGTTTCATTTGTGGAAACGTCATAATTAACTAAGTGATTAAGAATTCTCATCACCCAAGTTTCAAATTGGATAGAGACTTGGAGTCATACAATTCAAATTGTGTGATGTATTAGAATCTTGAATTTTGGAAGATTATGACTAATTCATTGATCACATGTTTATGCGAGTCAAAGTTAATGACTAATGAATCTAGTCCATTGAAATGGACGATTCAGATCTACCACAAAGAATGAAAAAATCTATTCGTCATGATTTACTTATGTTTCGATAAATATGGTTGTGTTTATAAGATTAAGCATAATTCTAATACCTTTAAAGGGTTTCATTGAGTAGCAGAACGAATAAGAAGAGTCTGTTAGGCAGAAAGATAAAGGTTTCTACAATCTAAAAGTAAAGGAGAGTACTTTAGTATCATGTTTTGTGATCATTTTAACGATTGTGGAACTATATCACAATTGATCCTC